GTGCGAGATCAATGTACGCTCAAGAACAACCAAATGCTCCGCCCGCCATTCGTAATAGTGTCGCAGTCAGGGATGAGCACAAAGTTCTGGTCGACCAAAAGAAAAGCGGAAGCATGAGGCAAACACAAGAACAAAGCTCAATGACCCTGAAGACTGGTGTCAAACGCAGTTGAGACTTTGTCAAAGAGACGAAAGCTACCGATAGAAGATGTTGCTGACACATACAGTCAGAATGGATCAAACACTCTGAAGGGCATCGAGTGAATGGCTCACAGTTTTTCTGAAGAATCTTCAGTGGAAGCAAGGCTGGCAGATCAGCATGAGATATTGTTACAAACGCTCTTTGTTTTTGTGCATGAAGCCCTGAAAGTTGCATTTCAGCCACCAAAGTTTGGAGCCAAATTCGAGCCAAATCTAGCAGATCTTGACATATGAACCAGACAGTGGTTGCGCAAGACCAACGGCGAACCGTTGCTTTGATGTCCGGAGGCATACCTCGCTTGAATGCAACAGTCTTTCGTGCGTCTCCACTTCATTTCGTACGCGTAGTCGCCTACGACTTCCACGAGTTGCAGCTATTGAGAGCAAATTATTTTGCCTACCTATCATTCCCAATGCGCATTGCCGCGTCGATAGGACCTCAAAAACCTCTCCAAATGCCCGTGATTTTACCGCGTCTACGTTCAAAAATGCACACTCAGCGCGTCCGTAATCTATCTGACTCAGTTGTCATGTTTGGACGATGATTTCAGGCTCTCTCTTGGGGGGTTTTGGCATACCCCCACGGCACGCCGACGAGAGCCAGTTTCTTGACGTGAGCCACTAGCCCAATCTTTGAATGTCATGATTACCGGTCTAGCTGAAAGGGCATACCTGTAGAAGCAAAACGCTTCCTCCGCTCGGCAGGCACTCTTGCACAGGCGACTATTGACGCGTGCCTGCTAGACGTTTTTGGCCACCAAGCATTGAGGACATGAACAGCGTTCAAGATAGACAAGGACGTGCTGCTGAGAGCAAGCCACGTTTTTCGAAGTATTCTTGCGAATTGCGTAAGGCTCACGCATTCAAGGTTGTTGAGCCACGAGGAAAATCTGCTGTGCAAAGTGACCGCCATCATGCTACCACGACACCTGTCTTCACCTATCGAAGCTGTTCAAAGTAGTGGTCTGGTCGGTCCAAGTAGTGGCGAGTCTCACCTCGCAACTTCAAGGCAGCTCAAGTCAAGCGGTGCTGCGCCTGGTCAAGCAGATCCAAATGAGCGCCATCTCTGCAGCGTACGAAGAGACTCTGCGAGAAGGTGTGCGCTTGTCAACAAGTCTGTTGCTGGAGGCAAAGGAAGAGCAGCTGGCCATGCTGCTCTTTCAGCCAAAGAAATGCTTTGGACTATGCAACAATGTACAGGAGCTGATGGTGGTAAGAGACGGCTGGCATCAGCATGCTGACATGATTCCTGATCGAGTCTTGCGTGGCCCTCTTCTTGCGTGTGCCAGGAAATGTCTCACGCAGGGAGATCACTTTTGAGAGGGGGGCCGAGGTCATCAATGCGTACCTTGAAGTGCAGCCTCAACATTGCTAGGGGCCAATGTGTGCATCTCAATTGCTTGCTTGCTCTCCAGTGTACATTACAATCACTTGTTTGCTTGCCCATTTACTCTCCTGTGTACATTACGATTGCTTGCTTGCTCTCCTGTGTACACCACCAACGCTCTCCATGTGACTCTTGCGCTTGCGTGTACCAACACAAAGATGGTGATGATGCAAACACCGTGATGGTGATGCATGATGATGATGCGAGCACCGCAATGATGATGCAAACACAGCTGCAAGCACCGCAATGAAGAAGAAGCAAACACCGCAATGATGATGCGAGCACGCACGCTGTGCTTGCTGCCTCAGTCACAAATCAAAGAGCATGCGCAAGCACCCACATGTAAGGCAGACCAATATGACAAGTGCAAAAAAATTTCACTGCCACCCACGACCACGGCCACTGCCACCGCTTTCCTTGCCTTGCCACCCTTACCATCCTCGTTGTCACCACAACACATCTATCAGCCACATGTCCCTCCTCAAGACATGCCAACACCTCTCTGCGGAGCAATGCCATACAATGCTCAGAAAGGGAGAAGTTACAGAAGACACCAGGGATATCAAGGCCATGGTGCGTGCTAGCACACCGCATGTGGAATCATATTTTCACAATTACCTCCTTCCAGATCAAGTCAAAAGATCAAGAGGAGGCCAGCGTGGCCACAAAGCCAGCTTGCAGTGGAGTCAATTGCATTTGGAAAGCCGGTGCTCCATTCAGAGAGATAGTTGGTAGTACCAACAAAGCCACAAAGGAGTACAAGCGCAAGCAGATGATGGCTGTCAAGAAGATATTGCACGCCAAGAAGCTTGTGGCTGACCGCAAGAAGGTCCTGGCCGGAGCCTCTGCTTGTGATACATGCTCACTGTCATCTTGCGCACATGCATGCAGGCTCTGCTTCCCAGCCTTGACTTGGCAAAGTGCCATCCGGCTCGTCAAGCCGCTACTCTTCTATTTCTCACCCCAAGCTCTAGACTGTACATTCTGTTTCTGATTGAGCTTTGTCATCAATGACTCTTTTAGACTCCCTACATTCAACTGAGTGATGCATCAAAGATTGGGTGAACAGCTGCTAGAGGAAGTGACAGCGATCAGCGTACGTGGCGCGCATGGCGGTCTCATTGCTCAGCTCGCAATTGAGGGAGGTGAGTTCACCATAGAACTCCACCTTGAAGTCATCTGCCGTGCGGCAAAGTGACTCAACTTGGCCATGGAAGTTCTCCATCTTGCAGTATCAAGCTCCCAGATTGGGAAACAAGTTACAACAACAAAGAGACATGTTGAATGAAGGGTGAGTTGGGTGGGGTGCGCACTGAGCTGCGGCATCTTGCCTCTGTGACATCAGCCTCTGTGACATCACGCACTATTGGGGAACTGCTTTTTGCTCAAGCAGACACTTTTTCAGTCACAAGTCCCGCTTGCAAGTAGTCTGCTGGCAGCTTGCATTCTTGATTTGCTCATTGTATTATTCCTTTCATGGAGCATTCCTTAAGTCACAAGCGCAACTCATCAATCCTGCCTTCCCCCCACTCATCACAAATCACTCTCCGGCCCAAACCCCATCATTTTGCACAATGTTGCAGATTCCTAGCACTTCTCAAGAGTTTCCATTGGACCTCTCCAATGAGTGGGCCAGTCCCACGGAAACCACCATGAGCGACGTCCAAGTCGCAAGAGCAAGAATGGCCAGTCTTGGCCTGACCGCAATGGAGCCCTTCTTTGCCGCATCCCCCAGACACTCCACATTGCTTGCTGAGCAGATCTGGGCTCTCACCAAGTCCGGAGAGAAGAAACCCTTGTCTGCGACACCTTCAAAGGTTGTGAGTGTTGCTCAAGAAGTGGCTGCTTTGTGGCTGTCATCGCCCGCATAGAGGTTACTCTCTGTTGAAAATCAAATTGACTTGGTGGTGGATTGTGGGTCGTGGTGGTGGATTGTGGGTCAGTCGTGGGAACGTGAGCTTTGTTTACTTCATCTCAAGGCGGAGACCAATTTGGTGCAAGAAAAGCTGTGCATCATTAAGGATTTGTTCTTCTCATCTGCAACCATCTCTGCCTTGCCAATATGACACCAGGTCAACAAGCACCTTGTACAGTGCGTGGAGACGCGCAACACTGGCAGCTTGTTGAAGAAGAATGCAGCCCCTTTCCCCTTGCTAGAGACACCCTTTGCAACCGCCTGGACATCTTTTTGCAGACCAATCTGCTCGCAAGCGCACTCACTCCACGCATGATCTTTTTTCCGCAAGGATAGCGTAGGAGCGCCCCTGCAAGCGGCGCCTCTTCCACTGGCACAAGAGACTAGGTGACACACAGGGGAAGATGGAGATGCACGCCCTCTGCATGCTGCCAGCGTCCACCTTCTTCGCCTCTCTCAAAGCTCCCAATGCATGCGTA